TTACGTTACGTTACGTTACGTTACGTTACGTTACGTTACGTTACGTTACGTTACGTTACGTTACGTTACGTTACGTTCGTACGTACGTACTCGTACTCGTCTCTCTCTCTCTCTCTCTCTCTCTCTCTCTCTCTCTCTCTCTCTCTCTCTCTCTCTCTCTCTCTCTCTCTCTTACTTTCTTTTACTTAATACAACAGTTAACAACTTAACATATTAAAAAAAAAAAACAACCAAGGGCCACGTCGCATCAATGCATAGTTTATAAATGTGGTAATACCACATTGAGCAGGTGGATTGAAGCGGCGTGACCATCGGCCGTGCCTCTTCGGCCTGCCCTCACAGGTATACTTGATGTGCCTTCCTAGCTGCATAGGTGGCTATATTTAGGCCTGCTCATGGAAGCAAATACAGCCCAAGGGTAGGGGTAAAATGGCCTCTAAACCCACAATACCAATCAAGGGCCGGACAACTTTGATACAGCCAAGTCACGTGTTATGCAGCCGCATTCAGTAACTAGGGACTGAATCTAATTATCTGCAAGTTTTTTATGTCACGTGTTTAGGAATTGAACTTTGATTTTTCTTTGCACTTGCCAAGTACTTCCTATTTGACTATATGCTACAATTGCCACTTTCCAATTTGTTTTAATAATATCATATTATGCTTGCATTTTACTTAAGTTTATGCTAATTGACATATCCTTTTTCTTTTTATTACAGTTGATGAATGGGTTGGATTACTTTATAATTACATGCTAATTACATTAGAGAATAGAGACAGAAAATATCTCAATTATTCTCTTTTATTTTCATTGAATTTAATGAACAAATTGGATTAAAATATGAAAAAAATAAGATATAAAACGTATCTATTACTTGGTCAATGACTTAGATAGCATGTTTATTAAAGGCGACTAATAAATTAAAACACCTACTATCACATAAGTCAATCCATGTTACTCTTAGTATTATAATTTTTACTAATTTTTGGAATTTTTTATGCTTATTACCCTCATAGGTAGTAATGCACCCCTATTGCAATTACATCAAGGCACCTAGCACCTTGCACTGCTTCCTGCATCTAGTAACCTTGCACAAATTTAAAAACATGGCTATCAAGCAAATGAGTGAATAAAATCGGAAACCTCGAAATACAATCAATCTTGAAACTAAAATGACAATCATAACATTCCAACAGCTAGCTGTATAAAAACCAAGACATAAACCAAAGAACTGTACACACTAAGTGAAGACTTAAATGAAAACATAATTGATAATAAGTAAAGAGTTCACTTGAGCTATTTTGAACAAAAAGCAAAATTTTGGCCCCAAAAGATCAAAAGATAATTTTTCTCAGATTATAGGATAAACCCAAAAGATTCAGCCAAACCAAACTGATTAATTTAAGTTTCGGATTACTTCCAACAACAGAAGTGCAATGTATTTTTAGCCAGCCCTTGAAATCTGATGAAGACAGATAGAAAACAAGAAAATAAAAATTTAAAACTAGATACTGCCACCCAAACTATGTAATTCAATAATTCGCAAATATATTATACCTCTGAAAGTTATTCCCAAACAATTTCCAATTTATCCTTCTTTTTTTTTAGCTATATCTTCCAAGAATTTATAGGTAAAAATCCCATGATACGATGGTGAAGAGCATTCCATGTCCATCAAATATATCCATTCCCTTCGGAAAAACAGAAGTCAAAATGAAAACATATGATAAAAATCCACATACTTAACATCGCATGGACTCCTACCAACGTAGCCAAACAGACATAAATATAAAACAGGCAAACCCCAACTGGCTATAATATCATAAAATGCCATCAAAAACCCCAAAATAGCAATACATGAGCACCAAAATACAGATCATGTAAACACTTAAAGAGTTTCTGGCTTGAACATTGTTACCAAAGCACCAATAAATATCCAAAGGCAAGAAGACTAATTCTATAAAATTTTCTGAGAAGTAAAAATATAAAAATTTATCAAGATAAAGAATGTTTCAGCAGTTGTAGTGCTCTACTAATTTTATTGACCATCCCAAAACCCTCTCAAAACCCTAAGCATTGCTGTCAGGTTATGAGCATCTTAAGTCAACCCCAGTTCTCCTTTAAGGTAACGGATCTGGTTATACGACATTCAAGAATGAAAAATGGCTCTTCGAATCAACCATCCTAAAATAAGTAAAAAAAATGATATGAAACAAACCAGTGATAGTGCCATGAACAACTGTCCCATTCTTGAGCTCAATGGAGACCGTCTCATTGTTCAGCTTCATCAAAAACCTAAAAGCAAAAAGAAAAAGAAAAAAAAAATCCACCAAAACAACATAAGTTAAAGAACCAGCGGCTCAAAGAGAGAGATAACAAAGGAGAAACAAGTAAAAATTGAGGAATCAGCTCACTCAAGAGATAACTAGAGCGAGAAAGTGAGAGAGAGAGAGAGAGAGAGATATGGAAGTGTCGGGAAACAGAGTATCTCATTCGTGCTCTTACACTGAGAGAGCAATGAAATGAGAGAAAAAAATTCAGGGCATTCAGGTCGAGAGAGAGAGAGAGAGATTAGGGCACGTTACCTAACGAGCTTCATTTTTTAGAGAGAGAGAGGGGGGAACTGCTTCTGTTCTAGGGCTAGAGGAGAAGCAGAAACATGGACCGCGGGTGTAAAGCCGAGCGGCAAAGCTTCCTTTAAGAAGCTGGGAAAAATATATCATGCGCGTCTCGTGTACTATATAGTGTGCAAGGATCAATTATCGACTGTCCACTTTCTACACAAACGGTTCTGATGATCTACTTTTCCCCCTTTGGCGGCGAGGTATGAAATGCACGAGACGTGTATAGTTTGCGCTTCCTCCTGAGTTCCTTGCAAACCCTGCCCGTATAAATCCTGGAGACGGCGTGGTTTCTGTGAAAAAAATTTCTTATTGGAAATCAGATTATATGAAGAAGGGTTATGTTTGCATGAGGTGTCATTTTTTTTAGGTGACGAAACTCTTATGATCATCTTAAAATGTATTTTTTACTCCTATTATGAAATTGAAAGCGCCAAAAAATGTAGTTCTAGTAAATCTATAACCACTTAAATATCTTGACCATGGATAGTTTAGATAATGCGTTACAAGATGTATTATTATTAATACTTGAAATGTAACTTCTCTTTCGTGTTCATATATATCGTATGGGAGATGATCAATTGGAGGGTTTTCTAATAATGAAACAACATTTCCTGATGAGTTTTGAGGTGCACATTACTCATAAAATATAAGGCTAACACCTTATATAAAAATTTTCCACAAAAAGGACCAATTAGTGTGAGAAAACCTTCAGCATGGGGAAGTTCTTTCGTATGAAGACTTTTAATTTTTTTTCATATGAGCCAAACATACCCTTACACTTGGTAACATGCTCCGAATAGCTGTTTCCTATGTTTCGTAATTTATAAGGGAATTTGTTTTCGAAAATCTAAAATGCAGCATGTTTGTTATCGTTATTTTTTAAAAAATTCATAAATTAGATATTGATACATGTTTGATGAATTATATTTGTTTGGTATCGTTATTTTTTAGAAAATTCATAAATTAGATATTGATACATGTTTAATGAATAATATTTGTTTGAAAGAAAAGTATACAAATAGACCATTTACTTTTAGTTCAAGGATGTCATAAATCACTCATGTACGTCAGATTTTAAATTGGGTGATTGTAAATATACCATAGATTAGACTCAAAGTTTTAAAAAAATAACAAAAAAATGTCAAACTTCATTATTGTGAACTCTTTGTGACAATGGTAAATGGCTTTATAATATACAATCCCTTATTTAAAATAGCCAATTCAATTAGTACTAATGAATTGGATGGTTCAAATCATAAGTTCTTGATTTATTATTGATTCTTGCTCTCTCCCGCTTAATTTACTACTCACCGTTACCCTCATTCTCTCTCTCTCTCGCCCAAACTATTTTTTTTTTTTGTTTTTTGTTTTACCTTACTATGTTTCTAGATCGCGCCTTGTTCCACATACCTCAGTTGGATATCCATTTCCATTCTTAATCCTTCCTATGGAAGCAAGGGTAGCTCGAGATTCTCATAATCTAAGGTAACTAAACTAAGCATTTCTGGCTTGGAGGTGCATCGATTGTTTAAGGTTGTAACAGAATATGAATCACATCCAGAAAAAAAAACATTAAGAGATACTAGAATCTCTTGAGATGACTTAGTAAGATATTGGTCGAAAAGAAAAACATTAGGAGATACTAGTTTCTCATAAGATGACTTAGGAAGATATTGGTTTCTAAAGATGCTAATACCATAATAACTTACATGATGAGTATATGAGTGCAATCGTAGAGTGAAACGTTCGTACTTGAGAAAACCAGTATTGCATGTCAACAACTTAACCACAAATTACTCTATGTTTTTTTTTATTTTATTATAGAGGGACGATACAAGCTACTTATTTTTTTTTAAGAGTGAGACCTTTCTACACTCATGTAGATAGAACTTCAAAGGATCACTATTAAATTTGGCACAGATCTCTAAAAAAGTTAAGTCTCATATCCCTATGATAATTTTTCTAGAGATCTATGTCAAATTTAATAGTGATTATTTGGAGTCATACACACATGAGTGTGGAAAGGTCTAATAGGATCATCATTCTTTTTTTAAATAGTTTAAGAGTTAGTTTTTTTAAAGTGTTAGTAGAGTGGTATCAATGAAAATGAAAACTACAATATGGTGATTAGGATGTAGGGGTGCTCCCACCAAGACTCGAGCCCGTTCCAAAAATATTAAGAATTGTTGTTCCAATAAATGTTAATATTGATTCATTATAGCAAGCCGTTCCCGAGGTTTATGAAATTAGGAGCACATACTTGGCAAGGCCTTTTTTTGGTTCACTTATTTATTTTGTATTTTTTCCCTTTTTATCCCCGCTTGATGTTTGTGTATTTTTTCTAATGTTCCAACCCATGTATGAAGTAGAATTTCTAATTTTAGTGGATAGGAAAAACAGGAGGATTCATTATTCCAATTATTATTCTTTATTTTAATGAAAAATCTCATTGTATATTGTCAGGTATGGTGATATTCAAAATCACCCACATAAAGAAATATCATATTATATGGAATTGGGATTAATACTGATAGGTTTCCTAAATAAAATAGAAATTAAAAAAGATAAAGACTGTAAGTATATCTCTTGGTTTTTGAGATATACACAATATCTATGTGAAGTTTTTTATTTAGTATTGATTCATGATTCAGAACTATATAT